AGTGGCAATTATTGAACTGTTAGCTGGACTGATCTACCTCCGCAGAGTGTCAAAACGTGCATCAGATTCCATCGTCAGCTCCCACTGTTGTCTGATCAATAGGCTTGATGACTGGGCAGTGTTATTGATACAGAATGTGATAAGTCATGCTTTCTGACAATTCCTGATTTAATTTCTGCATGGTGGTCTCTCTAGACACTTACAATTACATTATATAATCTGATACAAAATCATCCATTGTTTGCCCAATTTTTTTGGATGCTGCTATTGATAGGTTTGCCAGAGTGGATGAAATTTTCACCCTGAAGCAGATTTACATGGTATATCTTGTGAATTTGTTGGAATTTACTGGAAGTTTTTCTCTGGATGAACCGTATTTGATGAATTTCCAAGGATTTTTAAAAATTTGTGAAAAGTGTTATTGATAACTTGTGATGTTCATTTTTTGGATTAAAGTATTCTGTAGGCATCAAAAAAAGAATAACTTTCATAACATGTTAAACTAATTTTGAATGTGCCAACATTTTGATGACCATAAAATTTTAACAATAAGCAAAATGGTACTTTGCTAAATAATGAACACATTGAAGATTTTTTTCCATTGCTGTATTCAAAATAATAGCCTACCTGGAATAAGAAAGATGTGTCATTATCGTATCATTATTATGTCAAATCAATTTAATTCCCATTATTTTGTTTGACATTTATATACACACCGAGGAATCTGATGTACACGATTACAGAACATCGTCACCAGTAAATCTTTATTGTGTGATTCTGTACGTTCTCACCTTTTGCAAGTCAATTTAATTTGCCAACAAATGATAAAGATATTGAGTGACAATTACAGCACTTGCATAATTTTTTTCACTCATAGGTTGATCTTAAGGAGCTAACTGTGCACCATCTCAAATACTGAACGGCACTCATAGAACAAATATATCAATCCTTGGTTTTTCTATAATGACCCTACAATCGCACAACACCTGCCCCTTCAAGCACCTAGATAGCATTTACATGTGGAACTGAATTATTTGGATGTGTTACCAAGTATTTCCATGTTTTTCCCACTGCAAGTCCTAGTCAGCTGTATTGGATAATAGTTTTCAGGCCCTTGAGCAAACTGGAATATATTTACTGATTTCTATGGTGTATTTATAGTTTTTCTCATGGAGAGTGATATTTGTGATACGAGGATTGATTTAACTTAGATACAATCATTATTTAATTTCTTTTCCCCACAGCATCATGGGATGTACCAGGTAGGAAATCGTTTTTAAATGTTTGATCTCGTTTTCTCACTGTATGCATGCATTTTTACCCTCTAGAGTAGAGTCATTCTCGAGCATTTTTCCCCCACTTAATGCCTATACCACTTAGAGGTCATTTAGGTACATTAACAAACTATTCCTATTTCTGTTGGATTTTTTCTTTTCATTCTTTTTCTTTTGGGACCATTGTGTTTTACACCAGGTAGATAAAGATATAGTAAATTATTCTGAGCTTTGTTCATCTTTGTTAGCCAGTAGGAGAATGAGTTGACTTATTTACAAACAGAACAGAAAATTGTATAGTTTGGTTTTCTCTAATTACAATGCTTTTTTATCACAGAATCTTGCAAGCAGGAAAAGTTGGCACAACACCTTGACATACATATGTTCAGTGTAATGATGCATGCTCGTACAACAAAATGTTTAATTTTTTTTTTTACACATGGCAATCATAATTCTCAGGGGAAACAGATAAATGTAAATATTTTTAAAAAAAATCAATAAAAAAGACATCAAGTTCTCATTGAATGTAAATTACAATTTTTTGCTGATACACATCATTAGATTTTTTTTATCATTAAAAATGTGCTGTGAATTTTAAATTTTGCAAACATATTAACATAAAATTTTGATATACCTTTACCCATATGCTTTTTATATTTTGTAAGTGTTCATAATTTATCTGAATTGTTTGATATCTTGTACAGGACTAGCATTTAGTAGGAATGTTTATGCTGGCCTCCAGTGAAATGTAAATTCAGTCATCTTATATATATAGGCACTGTGGCAGATGTTTGGTTATGTGTGTTTTTATGGATGTCACCCTTTCTGTTTGTGAGTGTGACTCTGTGTAGAAGTGACTTGTATTATTCAGTAATATCTGAAAATTTATCAATTTAAGTCAAGGTCTCATATTACAGATGAAGATTTTTAAATTGATTGTAACAGTATGTATCTTTGATAAACCATTGAATTTCTAGAGAGATTATGTGTTTGCAAGCTCAGAAGTTGTACTGAAGGAAGAAACATAGAATATGAGTCAATGTAATGTGTAAAAGGAAAAAAAAAGTGGGGGAGGGGGTAATTGCATTTTTTGTATTAATTAATTTTACTTTTTTGTGATATTAAGCAAAAAGAAAAAAAAGAGGAAAATGACTGAACAAAGGTTATTCAGGAAGGTGACACAGGCATAATGTATTTACTAGGATAAACAAAGTCATCTGATGAAGTTTTATTGGCATTTAAAAAATGTTTGGGAGGATCCAACTCTCCCAGAAATAAAATGTGTTGGTAGCCAAATTTTCAAGTTTCAAGATTTTGGAATATGTATGCTTGTATATTGCCGAGCAAGCAGTAGCTATTCACCATATCTGGAGGTAAATTGCATGGATGATGACACTAGGGAAGATGCTGCATATTACCATTGATACCTGTGAGTCAGATTAATAAGGGTCATGTATTAGTAACAATGGGTCCTCATAGGAACTCTCATGGATGGTGGGTCTGATATGAAACCTATTGTATCCATGCAGTTATACTTTAACATTCTTGTCTGCATCAATCGCGATGCCTATTTAGTTATCAACTTGAACGTTTTGGAGCAGGTCTGTTCTCTGGTTAAATATATGGCATACATTGACCTAAAAATGCAATTATAATTATGATGGGACTAGAAATGTCATGCTAGATAGGGGTCATGCGCTGCAGTCGCTTTAAGCTGCTGCTTGTGACCAGTTGGTCTCACTGAATATTGCAAGACTGAGAAAGAAATCTATCCAAAAGTAACATTAATAGGACATTGTCCAAATTTGTATAGTACATGTCGTATACTATGTAGACTTGTTTAAAAAATGTCTGTTCCTTTTCAAACAAGAAAGAAAGTACAGCCAAACCTTGTTATCTCAAACTCAATCATGTCAATGAAACAGAAAAAACTTCAGATAATCAAGTATTCGAGATATCAAGGGTAAATTACATAAGGAATAAGTGGTTGGGACTTCTAATTCACTTTGACATATCCATGGTATTTGAGATATTGGTGTTCAAGATATCGAAGTTCTACTGTAACTGTAAACATGCATAAATTAAAATTTAGTACAATCTTCCTCTTCAGTTGAATGATGAGTGTAATTATAAATTAATGCACTTGAGTCTTGAAAAAGACAAGTATTAGTTTAAATCATATACATGTTGAATTAGTGTACAAAAAGGCACTATATAATTAATGCTAAAATGAATAAGTTTGCTTTATTTACAGAACCTGCAGAATATTACATGTATTACATAATAGTGAAGCATTTCAGTCAGTTTTTTTAAAGCATAAATCTTAACAAAATCTTGGCTGTAAATTAATTTTTTGAAGTAAGATGTATAATTGAGACACAATAACTTTTATTCTATATTGTCAATTGTAGAATCTTATCCCTTAGTCAATTTACTGTACTAATTAAATAACAGTTGAGCATCTCTCAAGTTTTGTTAGTATGAACTTTTTAATCCAACTTTCATATCCCAGAAGTCAATTATAAAAAAAATAGCATCATGCAGAAATAACTTTAGTGTACCATAGAGTAAATTCTATGTAACTTGACAATTTAAATACTATACAAACATAACGGTACAAATACATTGAACTTTCATCTTTTATAGCCAAAGGGAGGAAAAAAAATCAATATCGTACAGGATTATCATTCCTGTCTGTAATTCATATCAAAACGGAATTCGTGGACATTTATTGATTAAACTGGCTTCATACAGTCTTTAATTGCCTGTAATTTACTTAAAAAATCAATGTGTGTACCTTGATATTGCTCTGTATACATTGCTATGAGTGTACGCAGAGGCAGGGAATTTAATTTTATCTATGCGATAGCATATTGCAATCATGTAGAGATGCTGACCAAAATAATGTTGCATTATCACCTGATGTGTGTGCAGATGTGGATATATTCGTGATAATATGTCTACGGCATTTTAATCAATATCCTAATGATGGCGTTGACCACACTGCTGTGAATACATTATTTACTTATACGTACGTGTATGAGTTTGTGCTACAATGACGTCTTGGAGGTAAATACGTCAGCCATAGCTGGGTTTTTCTGTCACACAGTCGTCTGAGGTTATGAATGGATAGAAAAAAGATCCAATAGTAAGGAGGAAGAAAAGTTCAATGTTTGATTCTTTAATACCAAATTATGTATTTACCTGTTATGTGCACAAATTGTGTTCTTTTGGAAATTTCCTTGTTATTGGATTATTAAAAAGTAGCTTTGTGGTTTTTAAGGATTTTTATGATTTAAAGATTTTGAAGGGAAAATTGATTAGTGGAATGCTGGAATTATCTGATAATCCAGTCCAACGTTCCGAATTTTAAGGGATATTGTTCTTCTCATTGTCAACCAGAAAGATCTCGGAGCCTACTGGATCTGGTGTTAATGTCAGCCTGGAATAAAAAGTCAAACTAAGATTCAGCCTTAGATATTCTTGTGATTAAAAACAGCCAACTTTGCAAAAATCTATAACATAAATTCTAATTCTTAAAGCCCATTGGGTGGCTTTTCAAAAACCTGTCAGAAGTGAAACTTTCTCAAAAACTGGAAACCTGAGGAGGTGCTACAGAGCTGAATGTCTTACAAACATTAAAGAAGTCCCAAAGACAAAGCCAGTATAACTAGATATATTGACGGAATTTTATACAAGGTTGCTGAAGATTGTGTCATGCACTGCTCAGCTCTGTGTAATTTGTGACTTAACATTTTGTTTGAAATACGTGTTTCCTGTAAGTCATTACCAGTTAACACTACACATTCTTCAGTACTTGGAGTCATAATAGAAAGGGTGTACTTGTACTTCATTCAAAATGGCTCAGAAGTCTGGTGGATGTTTTCTGGGATGTTGGTTCAGAATATGGTAAATGGATACATAGATAGCCTTTCTTGTGATTATGTTTTGGTAGAATGTTTTTTGGGGACACAAATTTTGTTGAAATTCTACTCCTGTTGCTTATCATTAACTCATGAAAATTAACAAACTGCTGGCATGTTTTTCATCCAAGTCAAACAAATATTAACTTTGCTTTCAGATTAATTTAAGTGCCTATTTGATAGGCAGAGTAATAATGTTAAATGATTTTTAATTTACTCTGACTTCATGATTTTATTTTTTAGGCATTTTTACTTACTAATAAATTATATATATAATATATTATATATAGTTAATACAGTCAAATCTCATTATCTCAAACTAGATTGGACCGAGAAAATACTTCAAGATATCTGAGAATATGAGATATCCACTGGGTAAAATACTTAAGGAAAAAGTGGCTGGGACTTCCAAATCACTTTGACATATTCATTGTATTTGAGATATATGTATCAGTGTTCGAGATACAAAAGTTCAAATGTATTTGTGCATTGTGAATTGATGATTAATTTTATGAATTTTTTCATTTTCAGTTCATCCAAATCTCAAGAAAAGTCAAAAAAGGGATCACCAACCCCAAGCAGTAGCTCAGTAGACTACAAAATGGCTGGCAAGGACTTCCTACAGCCAAGCTTTCCAGCCCCCAACTCCCAACAGAGACTCTCTGACACAAAGACCAGGAACAAGGTGGCTCTTAAGCCAGGCCGATCACTGATGGACTGGATCCGACTGGGAAGAAGTGGAGAGGATCTAACAGGAGTGGGGGGTAAAATCTTGGAGGTGGATGCAGAGGAGTTAGCCAAGCATAATAGAAGAAATGATGCCTGGATTGCTTTAAGAGGTGATTAAAAAAATATTTAAAAATATTGAGAGGGCAGCAAGATGTGCAAAGCTGTCACTCTCATAGTGAGCTATATTGACAATGGTGTACAAACAGAGGAAATTCAAGTTGAAATCTACATGTTCAAAATGTTCAAAGAAATTCTTGTATGTCTACATGAAAAAAAAATTAAACTCCCAGTCTTCTTTGCATGCATAGCAAAATGGTGGCTAGCACATAGCAAGGACTTACTTGTAAAGGTTGATATAAAAGAAATGTATGGAATCCACATTAAACATGCCTTTGAAATTATGATGCCATTCCAAAAGTTTAATTATACATGTACTTAATTCTATCAAAGTAGGCAGTAATGAAAATTAAATAACATCTTATATCTCTTCATTGTACTGCTTCCAATATATAACATTTAAGAAAAATGTCAGTGGCATTTAATAAGTGATGTGTGTTCAATACTTGACTATTTGGTAAGGAAATGGCATTGAGTGACATTTTTCCCCAGAAAGAACTTCTGGCCCACGAGCCTCTTGTTGCTAAGAAAATTGCTTTACTGTCTGAGTGTCAGGTCAGTTAGTTATCAGGGTCTAAGCTAATTGTTATGAAAAAAATAGCATACATATTTCCCATGAATTACAAATGCCTGTTTTCAATAGTCATATGCAGAATAACTTACTTGTAATAATCTATGCCAGTTTTATGATGATAACGTGAAAGTCTCATTAATTTGTTGCATGATTTGTTCTGCTTCAGTTCAAGTTCATCAAAGTGTTTGGGTTAGTCTAACATGTCTAAGACTGAAAGAGGGATATTTTTGCTTGAATTTACATGACACTATTGTTGTAATTGACAGGATGTTATATAAAATACAAATATAGCCTTTTTAGGTTGACCTGTAGAAATATTGACTGCACAGAAAAGCATATCGACCTCATACTTGGTGCTCGGTTAATATGCTTTTCTGAAAACTGGATATTTTCTTGGATTGGCCAAATTAAAGGGCTACATTGTCAATATTATATTATTTTCTTTGGGGAAAATAACAGACAAGGTCATTACAATAGAATTAGCTGTTTTTAATAATTTTTGCCTTGAATGAATTGAGCAAAACAAATCTGAACTTATTTTTAGTAACTCAAGTTCATATCTGAAAAAATGATATAGCATGTGACCTAAAACAACAACACAGTAAAAATAATATTGTCATTTATCTTTAATCATTTAATAACGAAGCTATTTAACATTTTACATATATCCTTTTATCTACTAACTTGTACAATTTACATAAGACAAAAGTACATAAAATTAGTGTGTTATTCTTTACATTGATAAATGTCATAATTTTATTCTCACGAGTACTTAGTATTAGACATTTTTTCTTATCACGATTTATTCCTAGGTAGGAGTAATTTTTAAGCAACATTAAGTGCGTAGGATTTAATTTGATTTTACTTAGATATTTGTACATACAGAAAGGTTTCTTGGCTTTCAGGTTTTAATAGACTTTCCCACCATTCATGTGTTGTTTTTTTTTCTCAAGTCCAAGACTTACCTTGCAACTGTGAAGTGTAGGAGTGGACAATCAAACCTTGTTAGTTGATGCACCTTAGGGGGGAAGGGGGGGGGGACATGCAATCCATGCACTATTGCCTGGATTAGAATTTTATGACCATACACATTCAATGTCTGTCCAGATCACATTTTGCACACTGTGATGCCTAGGGCCATTCAACTAGGTCAGTTGATGCATCTTGAGAGGTGTGTCATGACCCAAAAATATGTCACTTGGAATTTTATGGCAAAATATAGTTAAACCGTGCCCATTTCACAGTGTAATTCACCACCCGAAGTAGGTCACTGTGTCTTTCAAGGTGAGCTTATGGTATACCCCTGGTGTCGGCATAGGTGTCCAGGTTAAAGTTAAAGGAGGAGGTCCATTCTAAAGTAAGTATAAGCCATACCTAGACAAACTTCCATGGATGATGCATTTAGGGATACATACTTCCAGACTTGTTATGGATGCTGGATCTGACCTACATTTTACAGATGAGTGATCAGGTAAAAAGGTTTTGGAGGAAGTAGCAATAAACCCTATAGTGACCAAACTTGCATAGATGATACTACCAGACATGCTTCGGATGCTGACCTACATTTTATGAATGAGTGACAAGGTTAAAGTTTTGAAGCAGTTCCATTCCCAAGTAACTATTAGCCCAGTGGTGATCAAACTTACATGAATGATGCACCTAGGCATGCATTCTACTATGCATGCTTCAGATTTTCAGTGGATGCTCAAAACCAGGCTGGATCTGACTTGCATTTCTGGATGATTGATCAGATTAAAGGTTTTGGAGCAGGTCCAATCCAAAGTAACTTTAAAGTCTACTTGGACCAAACTTGTCTACAATTTGTCTACATATTCTATTATTAACTTCGAGTCTATTTGTCCCAAAGTAAATAATATACTTAACAAATGAAATTGTCTAAGCCTGATAGAAAAATTAGAAACAGAAATGTATGAGATCTGTATGCCAATATTGGAAGATTAATATTCAGGAAGAATGAGTGGAATAGTTGCTAAATGATGTTGACTTTTAACCAGGAACACTGGAAAAGCATTGCTGAAAGCTACTTACTTTACCAGAAACATTGTCTTGCACTGAAATTTTACTTCATATTGCTACCTTCACAGAAAACACATTTCTACATCATATTAATTATGCCCCCCTTCAAAGAAGGGAGGGCATATATTGCTTAGCTACTGTCTGTCGGTCAGTCTGTCTGTCGGTCCATCAACAGTTTCCGTTCATTTTCTTCACAGAGGTTGCACATACTGAAATGAAATTTGGTATACAGATTTATCACAAGAAAATCTAGGTCAAGTTCTGTTTTGGGTACAATTGAGCAATTTTTGACAGAGTTATGCCCCTTGAACTTAGAAAAATTCCAATTATTTGTTGGGGGAGGGGGGGGCATAAGTGTTTCACAAACATCTCTTATTTTGCTTAATTCTGTTAACTTTACTAAAAGCACTGTCTGGAATAAATGCTGCTGACTTTAACAAAAGCAAGCTCATGGACAAATGTCACCAAATGCCACTGATTTTACCAGGAAGCGTGGTTTATGAGAAATGTTGCTGAATCTTCTAAAAGCCTTTAATCAGAGGTAGCGATCCAAAAGATATATTTGATGGTTTACAACCCAGCACCATTGTGATTTTGGACTTCTTGCTTGAAGTCTGAGCCATCAGTATTGAAGGTGCCATCTTATTTATGTGCAAAGGTTCTCAGTCACAGTTACTCCCTTTCTCCTGACTTTGGCTATTTTTTTGTGCCAGCTAACTATTGTGTCTTTCTTCCAAGATCTTACCTTGGGGCCTAATAACATCATGCTGCTTCTCCTTGGAAAGAATAGTAATTTAGAGAAAAGGACATGTCTGGCATTAAAATAGCTAGGAAGAGGAAATTAAAGCTTTGGTAAATTATATTTCCTCAACATCTGCTTTAAGGTTTTATCAAAGATAAATGGACTAACAAGTAACCAGAAAGGGAAATTAAAATGGAAGTAGAGATTTAAGGAGTGGTAGGATAACTTTCTATTTGCCTGTTTAGCTTATTTAAGCTTTAATTGCCAGATAATATTCTTTGGTCTCATTTATTACCAATGTGAACTTGGGCAAAAGCAAAATGTTGAAAGCAAGCTTTATACAAATTTGACTACGTGAAGGATGATTAAGCATTTTAAGATCAGTCTAATTACCAGCCAAAGAAATTGATTACCTAATTACCAAAGAAACTTCAATGAACCGATACTTCATTAAGCTTCAAACACAGATACATACAGTCAAACCTTGTTATCTCAAACTTGACAAGACCAAGGATTTGAGATTGAGGTTAAGATACATAAAGAAACTTACAGTTGTTGGTACTTCCAACTCACTTTGAAATATACATGGTATTTAAGATATCAATGTTTGAAATACCAAATTTCAGCTGTATTTGAAAGAGGAATGCACCTGCTATTGAATTCTTTTTGAAGTTAGTCTCATATTCTCTATTTTTTCAATGCAAATGTAGCCATGCCAAGAGGCCTAGTATGGTACATGTAATGATAATTTTTAGTCTGTAGAATCGTTTGGACAAACAGGAGTCCATGACTTGATTTTCAAAGAGCTTCATGTCCATAAGAACTGAGATAATTTCAAATTGCTTCTAGTTCCCTACTGGTAATGAAACTGTGCTTTTCATGTTATGTAAAATGAATTGTCAAGGGTTATAGTTATTGAGCATATCTTTAAAAAAGAAAACACAACACTCTAGCATGCAGAATTTCAAAGATATATTGCTGGCATTTTAAATAACATAAGAGAAAATACAAATTTGATTCAGCTGTTAGTTTTCTTTAGGGAGAATTTTATTGTTAGCAGAATGAAACACAAAGCTTAAAATGCACTATGATTAATACCTGCACAAAGAGCAGATAGTTATATTCATTAAAGATTTCTCAGATGAACTTCATATTTCTTTAATAATTCCGTTCCCAAGAGCACTTTAATCTTTAACAAGAGGCACATGGACGTTATTGTAATGAAATCTGTTCCAACTGTGCATTGCCTTGAAGATAAAATATGAAGAAAGTGGGCACATGAAAAAAATTTATGTGATTTCAGATTTAATTGATCAATTCTTTTTCTGTGTCCTTATTGTATTCAAAATTTGAATGATCTTTTTTTTTTAGGCAAAGTGTACAACATTACCCCTTATATGGAGTATCACCCTGGGGGTGATGATGAATTGATGAGGGGGGCAGGGATTGACGGAACTCAGCTGTTTGATGAAGTAAGAATTAAAATAATGTTCAATTTTAATTTACACATTTTCCAAAGTTAACAAATGCAGTATTTTTAGTATAAATGTGAATTGTATTCTTCTAAAGCTCATTTTGTAATCCAATCTGTAAATGTTTAAGCTTAGATGTCTGTATGGACAATATTCTTCCATCACAAGATCTTGTACGAAAGAGTCTTTGATTTTTTATGTACTTTTCACAGAGCAAAGATTCCACAAATTGAACACATTAATGGACACTGAAAATTATCTGTTGTTAAAGTTTATAAACTTTGTTTTGTTGATTTTTTTTTATTTATTTAACTTTTTAAAATTTTATTTTTATTTAATTAATTAATTTTTATTTTTTTTTTTGCTTTTTTTCTTTTATAATTCTTTATTTTTGTTTTACACATTCTGCATAATCATACAAAATATTTTTGAAAAAGCTACAGAAAGTGTTTTTTTAAATTTATTTATTTATTTTGTTTCGTAGAGAATTTAACACTCTATAATTTGATAACTAAACCAACTTTCCTGCAGTCCTGTTTTATAGGTATGGGGTTTAAGCTGTATATTAAATGGTAGGTCATTGAGCAGAATTTGAAGGACTCATAAGGAAGAAATTAAAATTGATTTTTTTTCCCCCACGGTTTGTAATATTATTGTTAGCAATATTTCTGCTGATAAAAAGACAGTGCTTGTTTGACAACAGGGTTATTTAGGGATTTTGATGACAAAAATATTGTTTTTTATCAACAAATTTATAAACAAGGTAAGAATTATCATCTTCCTGAAATTTGAATTTCATCAAAAATATAGAGGGCCCACATGACATGGCCTTGTCAAAATTATAAGATATTACATCAAATTCCTGTGTAGAACATGAATTTGCAACAGATTACAGTGAAAGTAAAATGTTGATATTTTTTTTAATATCCATATCTTCAATATAGATTGGATTAATTTAAATCTCATAGAACATTGGGGCTGTTATTTAGAACATTTTATTACAGTGAAAACTGTCTCATCCAATGCCTGTGTAATCCGTTTCACTGTGAATTCTGACCTTTATTTTCATTCTCATTGTATTATTTTTCCATGTTTTTTATATTGTGTAATCTATTCTGACACAAAATTTGTCTCCCAAGCATGTCAGATTAAACAGGTTTCACTGTATTATGGAACTCTGGGTTTTCAGGGTATCTCAACCATGCTCAACAGGAGCAAAAATTTTTTAATTCTCAGTTTGTCATAATGCTCATATACTTGTGTCCTATATGTAAGGAAATATAGAGGTATAGCATTTGTCAGATTTTACAAAGCTGATTTCCTAATAAGTTAGAAATACACTTAAAGAAAACTGATATATAATGAAATTATAAAATAAACTAGAAACCTTGTTGCCATGGCAACAAGAAGGTCTTCCGTCCCTTCTCTGTCTTCATAGAAGTTGATTCCTCTTTAAACAACATGTTATGTTGTGCATTCCCTGTCACACCTTCATACAAAATTCCTTCGCCATGCGCTCGGCACTTTGAAGTGAAAGTTGCGGATATTTTGGATGAAACCTTAAAAACCGAGGCCACGTGTCAAGGCAGGTGTTGGCACGGATAAAGATGCCTCATTGCTCAATGGCCCTGAGTGCCGAGTAAAAGTTTAAATTTGAAGCCCTTCACCGCGGTGGTCACGTCTCTATATAAGTGAAAAATTCTCGAATGGGACTTAAAACAACATACAATCAATCAATCAATCATACATAAAATATAATTAAACGTTTATATTTTGAAAATATTGCAAATCTGGAACGAAAAAAATACGAAATATAATTTTAGGGAGGGGGAGGACCTATGTTCCAAAACATCTTTGTGTGAATTTTTTTAAACTTTGAGATTCTCACACTTAATTGTACAAAATACAAAATTATGTTAAATATTTTTTTTAATTTAAGACCTACATGTATCTACACTATTTTGTTTTATTTTACCCGATTTCATGCATTTCAGGTTACCCCCCCCCCCCCCCCCCCCCTCCCTGAGTCAGCACCACACACGCATAACAAAATGATTGACACTTCACGTGAAAGCATATTTTTTCACATACTGTTTCAAGTATACAGATTTTTATGTGTTTCATTGTGTTAATACACTGTATTCCATTAATTAACCATACATTTATCCGCTAAGTCGCTTTGAGCTCTTAATTATGGCGGATCTTGCTCTAAACTAAATGTCATTGAAGTTACCTCTCATTTGAAATTGCTATTTTTATTTAATCAAGATGAGAAAATAATAAATTCTACTTTCAAAATATAATTTGACAAATCTCTGATTTGTGATTCAATTGCATAGGTACCTAGCTACATTAACATCTTTACCTTATTTTGTCATATCACACACATATGCACATTAATTAGTGCAAAATTCAACTGCAAACTCTTTATGAAGGAGTAAAAAGACACAGTACCATTGTGAAGTCAAACACCATTGCTCTGACGTTGAACGACATACCCCCCCCCCCCCCCCCCCCCCACTTAAAGATAAAATATTACATTTGAGCCCAAACAACAGTGTGAAAAAAATCGGACATTCTTGGGATTGAATAGTGCAAAATTTAACTGCAAACTCTTTATGAAGGAGTAAAAAGACACAGTGCCATTGTGAAGTCAAACACCATTGCTCTGACGTTGAACGACATAGCCCCCCCCCCCCCTGTAAATATAAATAAAATATTACATTTGAGCCCAAACAATAGTGTGAACAAATTTGGACATTCTGGGGATTGAATACGAGTTGCCCGCGTGAAAATTCAACATGCTTACCATTACGCTATCAAAGACCATCGTATCAAAGTAGCAAGCATAAATATCTAGAGTACGGGTTAATCTATTTTTGAATAAATTATATATTTAGCATTCTGATAAGATTCTCTATTTAACCTATAAATATCATAAAAAAATAATGAAAAAGAAAAAAGTTCAAAAAACTACCCTTTTTAAATCACTTCCTGTGACGACCGGAAGTGGCGACGACACACGAAATGTTTCCATCACACATTTACAAATCACCTTCTATCATACCTGAAAGTTTCAGACTCCTACTTTTAACAGTTTCCGAGAACATTCACGGACTAGATTTTTAGTGGAAAAAGTGAAAAATCGTAATAATTCGTGACCGGAAGTGAATTTTTCCAAACTTTTTCAATATTTCAAAATGGCATGAGATAACACATCATTCCTGAAAATTTGGCTGAAAATGATTGAGTAGTTTTTGAGATATCGCGATTTGAAAAGGTCAGAAAAATAAAAATGAAAAATAATAATAATAATAATAATAAGAAACAGTAGAATCACTATAAGGTCTTCCGTGAAGACGGAAGACCTTAATAATAATAAGAAACAGTAGAATCACTATAAGGTCTTCCGTGAAGACGGAAGACCTTAATAATAAGAAACAGTAGAATCACTATAAGGTCTTCCGTGAAGACGGAAGACCTTAAAAAGATTAACTTGACTTTGTTCCTACTTGCAGGTTCATAAATGGGTGAATTACGAATCAATGTTGGAGAAATGCTTTGTGGGAAAGTTGAAGTCTACAACACCAGTTCATAGAAGAGGTGGGTATTTAAAAACTTACTGAAAATATGTCGGTTTGACCTACTTTATAGAACAGTTGCTAACTGAAAACTTCCATATGCATGTATAAAAAAAGTTATTCTTTAGAATTGTAAGTGTGAAACTTGAAGGACTATGAAATAAAAACTGCATTAAATCCAATGATATCTCTGTGCAAATATGTTGACTTTCCACTTGAGTTGGACTAGAGACTAGTTATTGGACACAGACTTAAACAGCTTAATTACTAGTCATGGATTAACCATTTGGCCTTACATTAACCCCAAAAACTTGTTTGACAGAAGCTGGTAACTAGTCTCTAGTCATAACTAGTCTCAAGTGCAAATTCAATATATTTACACAGAGAGATCATTGGACTTTATGCAGTTTTTACTTCATAGTCCTTCAAATTGCACACTTGCAATTCTCAAGAATAACTGAATTAAAAATCATTAAGTATTTTGATTAAATCTGCTTCTATATTGATTACCAGGATGAATTGTCTGTTGTAACTCAAGACAATTTTTTCCT